AAAGAGACTGCCACTCTCTGCTATGACCTTAAGTTTAGTCCATCATTTTCAACACACAGTTAAACAACGAAGCCCAAATAGATGGAAGGTTGGATGACTGACCGTCCAAATCTTGTTTGTTTGTTTGTTTTTGATAAGCTAATGCAAAGTTCAGGAATAATGGGAAATTCTCAGGACTAAATATAAGAGAATCAATTAACATTTACAAGATAGCCTTAAATTCTATGACATCTACTGTTTTTCTTTTTCTTTTTTTAGGCGAGGCAACCCTTGGTTGACCTCACCTGGTCAATTTACAATCCCTTTTTTTTTATTTTTTTATTTTTTACACCTGCAGCACCTGGTCTTCCTAGGTGGTCTCCCGTCCAAGTACTAACCAGGCCCAACCCTGCTTAGCTTCCAAGATCAGACGGGATCGGGCTTGTTCAGGGTGAAATGGCCGTAGACTGACATCTACTGTTTTTCAAGTTCTTTATGGCCTAATTCCTTAGCATCTGGGAATGTGGGTAGGAGAAAGGGGCCCACAAACTTGAGAGGTCTGAACCCCTCACTCTGCTTGCAGCTTGCTGGCCTCTGGTTCCGATGACCAGCACACAATCGTGTGGGACCCGCTGCACCACAAGAAGCTGCTCTCCATGCATACGGGACACACTGCAAACATCTTCTCTGTCAAGGTGAGCAGGATAAGCCACAGAGCAAGTGAACAGGGTGATTGGGCTGTGCTCATGGTCATGTTTGCACGTGTGTGTCCCATGTACCCCCTGGAGTCACAGACAGCTTTGTGAGCTGAGCATCTAGTGGTGATTCCTAAAACGCCATCTCTTTTCCATACTCTACTTCCTCTCTCAGGGCCAAGAGGCCAGCTCTAGATGAGTTATATTTATGTGAGTGGTGATGGTGGGAGGTATGGTTCTAAGAAGGAATTTAGATGGCAGGCATACCTGTGTGACACCCGTATCTGCCTCTTGGAACTGTGTGAACTAGGCAAATCACCTGATCTCTCTGACCCTGTTTGCTCATCTATAAAATAGAAGTAGCTAAGGAAAATCCCTCAGATTCATGAATAAACGAATAAATACATCATTTAAAAAAGGAAGTAGCAATCCACAGGGTTGATGTTACAGTTCAATGAGAAGATTGATTTAAAAAGCACCTAGCACAGGTGCTTTTAGCTGTTCTACCTTTTGTAGGAAATGGGTCTGCTCATTTGTTGGTGGAGGGGAGTTGAGCTGAGGAGAGGTGAGAAGGGGACTTACAAGTGTCTTCAGACCTCTGAAGACCTATTATGTGAAAGTGACATGCAACTTGTCCCTTTTGGTCCCAGGGAACAGACCTAGGACTAGTGGCTATAAGTCCACAGAAGCAAATATGGTCCTGATGAAGGAGAGAATTTTCTAATGCTTAGAGCAATTTGGAAAGGGTAGAATGGGCCCTCTGAGGATGTAGTAAGTGAACTAGCTCTGAGGTATTCTGCTTGCTGGGAACTTTATCTGCCAGGTTTAAGGTTGGAGGAAATGACCTTTAAGGATCTTTCCAGCTCTGAAATCCTATAATGTATGTATGTGAGAGTGAGGCTGTCCTTTAGAAAGCTTCACTAATCTAAGAAATATTTTCCTAATTAATATCAAGAGGAATTACAAGATACCTGAAGAAGAAAGCAGATTCAGGAGCTCAAAATTACTTATTTCCCTAAACCCTACTTTTTTTCCCAGACTTCGATTCTCATCTCCTGTCCCAGGAACCAATCCTAGATGAATTTCTGCGAGTATAGAGACAGAACAATGCTGATTTGCCTCTTGCGTGGCACACAGAGACCGCTTTCTGCGGCCCAGTTTGAGTCTGTGGGGTCAGATCTGGGGAAGGGACCTAAGCCATCAGTTTGGTTATCATAGAGCACAAAACATTGAGTTCAGAGACCGGAATTTAACAATGGCCTTGCTATTCTCTAGTAGTAAGACCTTCAGCAAGGCACGTTTATTCACAGACCTTCAGCCTCCTCTTCTGTTAAAAAAAACATGTGGAAAAGAATTCCTCTCTCTTTTGATAGTAAAACACTAGATACACTTATTTAACCCGCGAGCTCCCCCTGGTGGCAGCTACGGGGTGCGCTGAGTATGACGGCAGCCACAGTTCTTCCCAAGGGTTTGCCAGTTTATTTCTTTTGTGCATGGAGTACATGCTATCTCCAGACAGGATTAAAGACTACTAATTGTCCCTAAAAATTATTAAATTACATCTGTTTCATCTAGCCCTTGTCCTGGTGGGCCATTAGAGAAGTGTATGTGGGAAGAGTGAATTGCGACTCTTGCGTGAACATTTAAAGTCAAGTGGAACTTTGGTGGTTTAAGTGCAGAATAATGCTCCCCACTCCCAGCCCCTATTCAGCCTTGTCATGAGTTGAGAGAAACTTTCGAATTAAGAAAAAAAGGTAATTTGGTCTTTTGAACTCAAGGAAGAAAATTAGAACCCAACACCACACCCAAATATATTTCTTCTAAATTAGGTGCTAGAATACCATACTTTTAAAAAATTATTATTCAAAGCTATGTTTGTGGTTGTTTTGTTCCCATCATATGTCATCTGGAGTATCTTGTTCTTGACCTCATAAGAATGGTGGGCTTCTCATTCTTTTTAATAACCGCATAGAGATGTAGCCTCTTGGTGATCAGCCCTTCCCCAAGGTCTGACATTTGAGCCATTTCCAGCATTTGTCATCAAAACGAGGGCTGCTCTGAGCATTTATACACAGGTCTTTTTTTTCTTTTAGAATTATTTCTCAGAATAGAAGTTTTGGGTCAAAAGATAGAAATAGTTTTGATCTTTTCTACCTATTGCCAGATTGTTCTCTGGAAATACATGAACCAATTTAAAACACTCACTCCCTTAAAACACTGAAATTCCTTGTTACTTTAAGATTAATTTATTACTTAACCCCCAGGTTATTAAATAGTGGTCATGAAGCCGTATGGCACGTGGTAGTCAGACAGTCGAGTTTGAACACAGTCCTCCTGAATATTAGTGCCAAACCTCAATTTTTAATGGGGTTATTTCAAGTATCAGTAAGATAGAGTACCTGCCCTGGTGCCCAGCACATGGTAGATGCTTAGTAAATGGTAGCAGCTATGATTATCATCTACTCAGCTCTTATCTGGGGGAGAATCAGGGAAGATTTTCTTAGGTCGTCGCACCCAGTGTAGGTCAGGACCGCTCTGGCAAAGTAAATGTGTAAGTCCCGATTTGGGCCTTTAGACCTGTGGGCTGAAGCTCGAGAGCCAAAGTTGTCTTGGTGGGCTGTCTTGGATGGGCTCGTTTTCTTATCTGATGTGGAGAGGGAACCCCCAGCACCCACCAATCTCTTCTTCAATCTCTCCGGAGCAGTTCCTGCCTCATGCCGGGGACCGAATCTTGATCACGGGTGCAGCTGACTCCAAGGTGCACGTCCACGACCTGACAGTAAAGGAGACGATCCACATGTTTGGAGACCACACAAATCGGGTGAAACGCATCGCCACGGCGCCCATGTGGCCCAACACATTCTGGAGTGCTGCTGAGGATGGGCTTATCCGGTAAGAGCCTGAGGCATCCGTGGGGCCTATGTCTTCTGCTGCATGCTGGCTCCCCCTCCCATCGCCCGCCCCACTACCTTCCACAGGCCTGGCTCCTTCCCTCCGGCAGAGTTCCAGCCTCACCAGCGTGCCGAGGGTGGTGGCCTGTGGACAGGCTCAGCTGGGAACAGGTGCTTACCCTGCTCTCCAGGCCAGCCTTTTCGCGCCGCCTCAGAAGCGCATTCCACCTCCTCTGGGCTCGTGCCGCTGTTCCCCAACCTGGTTTTCTCTCTCCACAGTGCTCTGCGTCCGCCTCTTTCTCACCCTAAGGAGACCTGTTTAAGAGCCACTTTCTTTGACCATCCTGTCCTCCCCCGTTACTCTTTGCCTCAGTGCTCTATTGTATCCTCTGTCACTCTAATCGTCATCTGTAGTTATTTTATTTACTTGTTGGTTTACCTTTTTTGTCTGTGTCCGTCACTGAATAGTAAACTCTCTCAGAGCACCTCCATGTCTGTCTTGTCCTTGGGTTGTGTGCCTAGAGCCCACACGGTGCCCGGCATGGAGAGGCACTTGATAGATTCCTCTGGAACAGTTTATCAGTAGATGTATGCCTGTAAGGGGGAAAGCCAGCCAGAAGTGGCAAAGTGGGCTGTCCGCTTTTCCAATGGCCAGTATTGTCACACCTTCACCTCTACTCTTCATTCTAAAATGATCTCATTGCCCATTTTTAATTCTTCTCTTCAGATGTAACCTTTTTCCTTGTCTTCCCAACCTGCTTTAACTGCCTCCCTTGAGAGTCTATAGGACTTTGTGTCCTCTTCCCTGTTACAAAGGAGAGGTATCTAAATCATGTATGAACTACATGTAACAGTGGTTAGAAGCAGGGCACTGAGTCAGACAGACCTGGGGACAAGTCCTACCTGTCCCTCAGTGTTTGACTGGGGCAAATCACGTCAGCCCCAAATCTCAGTTTCCTCATCTATAAAATGGGAATTACAGTGTCTCCGTTGTTGGCCTGAGCATTGAAATTGAGATAGCACCTGTAAAACTTAGCATAATACAGTAAGTCCTCACTTAACATCATTGATAGGTTCTGCGAATTTAAGTGAAACATCATATAATGAAAACAGTTTTACCATGGGCTGATATAAACAAGAGTTAAGTTCCCGTGGCATCTCACCAACGTTATGATGAAACAATGTCGAACGACGAGAAGACATTATTTGAGGAGCTGCTGTCCTTAGAAGACAGAAAGCACCGAGCTGTAGTCGTACAACCTCAGGAAGCTGTCCCAGCTCCGCATTTACCAGCAGCGTCGTCCCAGGCGGGTTATTTAGCTTCTTTGAGTGTCAGTGTTCTAATGGCACCTAGGGATGGTGTGAGGGTTTAATTGGACAATACTCAGGAACAATACTGGACACAAAGCAATTTCTCACTAAGTGTTAGTAATCACTAGTAATAGTACTGTAGCAATAATACTGACATCTGTTTTTTTTTTTTCAAGGGTACAGTAGTATCTACCTTAAGGAATTATGTTAGAATAAAACTGAATGGGTGAGAAGCCTGCTAACAAGAGGCCTGGCACACAGTGGGCACTAAAGAAATGGGAGCGGTTTTAGACATTCTTATTATTTACAGGTCCAAAGCCCCTCCCAGTCCCCCGTGCATAACAAGGCCTTGGCTTCTCCCCGCCTTCCACACGAGGACCCGGCCCAGGCTCCTTACTCTGTCCTCTCTCACAGCCAGTATGACCTTCGGGAGAACAGCAAACACTCGGAGGTGCTGATCGACCTGACAGAGTACTGCGGCCAGCTGGTGGAGGCCAAGTGCCTCACTGTCAACCCCCAGGACAACAACTGCCTGGCGGTAGGGGCCAGTGGGCCCTTCGTGAGGCTCTATGACATTCGCATGATCCATAACCACAGGTATGAGCAGCTCGGCCTCCTGTGGGCAAGTCCCTGGGACTCTGCTGCCCTTTCCCTCATTGCCATGCCCTCTTCTTTTTGAGGTGGGTTTTTAAATTTTTCTGATTTAAAACAACAGCAACTTTAATTCATGCTTATTTTGGAAATGTGAAAAGTGCAATTTAAAAATTACCCATAATCCATCACTGGAAAGACATCACTATAGTATTTTCCACTTGTTCTTTTATTATGAGTGTTAGTATAGAGTTTTAATGTTGTATGTGTAATTTCTTTTCTGTACATGTAATTTTATTTCATTCTTTTCTTTTTTAAACAAAAGTAGAATATACTTAAAACCTCCACAAAAGTCCCAGACCTGAGTGGCATCGCCAGCCTGGGTTTTAAATGGACTCCTTGGACAGGCGCAGGAACGCCTGACCTGCTTTACTTGCATTCACGGGCTTGGCCGACCACTGCTGCTCCTCACATACTGCGTGACTTGGATTAGTCCTTGAGCCTTGAGCCAAGTAAGATGAGGATAGTAGGATGGTCATGAGGACCAAGACAGTTGGCAGGACCTACTTGTAAAGTCCTGTAATATACATATCCACAGCTGCCTAGTTGGTGGACCTTTGGGGTCGCCAAGGTGAAGAAGAAAGGTACCTACTATATCTCCCAGGGAAACAAACTTAGGTTTTCCTCTAGGAAGTGTGGTCTGGGCTAGGCAGGGGTCGTGCCAGGTGCCGTAACCTATATGGTTTGCCTTTCCACCAGAAAAAGCATGAAGCAGAGCCCTTCGGCAGGTGTACACACCTTCTGTGACCGGCAGAAGCCCCTTCCGGATGGTGCAGCCCAGTATTACGTAGCAGGTAGGGCTCAGCCCGGCTTTGGCCCCAAACTCTTGGCTGGATACTGGCTCTCTCTGGGGCAGTGCAGGCAGGCAGTGTGGCCCAGCGATCAAGACTAAAGGTTTTAGAGCCAGACAGATCTAGGCTTTCATTCTGACTGCCGTTAACCAGCCATCATGGGACCTTTGGCAAATGACTTACCCTCGATGAGTCTTAATTTCTTTTCTGTAAAATGGGGTTGTAATGACTGACTGAGATAAAGCATATAAAGCAGTTGACCCAGCACATACAGTAAGGGTTCAATACTTGTAGCTGTTTTTATGATGAAGATGATTGCTGTCATCATTGATATGGCTGATTTCACAACTCCCTGCCCCTTTTGGGGGGTACCAGGAGCCTCACACTAGAGTAACTGGGCTGTTCTCTGCAGGTCACCTGCCAGTAAAGCTGCCTGACTACAACAACCGCCTGAGAGTGCTGGTTGCCACCTATGTGACCTTCAGCCCCAATGGCACAGAGCTGCTGGTCAACATGGGAGGGGAGCAGGTATGTATGGCTCCCCAAATCGACTCTGCGCCCCCGACCCCATATCCAGCAACCAGTGTACTTCATGTCCACTGCCATGAGGCAGACAAGAAGCCTGTTGTAAATGACATTATAGTGAGATGTGGGAATGGCGTGACATCACTGGCCTTCCCAGAGAGGTGCCCTGGCCTGGTCTTTTTCCTGAGCGTAAGTTTCAGAACAGATGTGTCTTCAAATGCTAACCTTCTGTTTACTAGCTGTGCACTGTGACAAGTCTCTTCATTTTTCTGGGCCTTGGTCTCCTCATCTGCAGATCCTGAGGCTCAGAGCACACAGCCAGGCTTTGGGATGTGTTCTTTGAGAATGGCAGGTTGCTAAACCTTCTGTTTGCATGTTCTCAGTCAGGAGATTTATTAAGTCTGGCATAAATTAATTCTACAAACACTCACTGAGCACGTACTTTGGGACTAGCATTATCATAAACATGAGGGAGAGAAATGCAAAATATAATCTGTCTCAGGTTAACGGGGAAAACATGACAAGTGAAGCAGTTGATGGCATTACAAGGTAAGGTGTGATTTTTGTACAAAAGAAATCGAATGGAGAATAGGTGAGCACTTGAGATCAGAATAGGGCTCTGGCTTCAGATTGCTGAGCCATCGCCTGGCCCGAAGTGGAGAGGCAGTCTAGCAGAGTGGCTCAGAGCCAGACAGACTTGGTTTTGGGTCCTGGCTGTGCCACATGCTGCTTTTATGGCCCCAGGTAAATTAAACTCTGAACGTACACTTCTCCATCTTTAAAGGGGGTGATGATAATAATACCAGTTCATGGGGTGTTCTCTAGGATGAAATGAGATAAATCACATAAAACACTAAGCAGAATTCCTGGAGCAAAGAATTCAATAACTGTTAAGTAATAATAATGTTTACTGAGGGAAGTAACCAGCTGTGTTATTTTAGGCAAATTGCTTCTCTTTGAGGCCTCAGTTTTCCCACCTGTAAAATGAGACATTTTGCTTTGTGACCTCTGAGGACTTTTTCAACTAAACATGTGATTCTGACTAATGACAGTATTTCAAGCCGTCCACCCTGAGGGTCAGGAACTGGGAATATTTTCCTGCCCGAGGTTTGCGCCATAGAAACCTTTCCTGGCCTCACTCAGTAGTTCCCTGCTCAACTGTTCCTGAGAGCCAGCCAGGCCTTGCTCAGCCACATTTTTACCTCACAGCCTCCATCTCTTTTCTTGACCCCTCCACTCCAGGTCTATTTGTTTGATCTGACTTATAAGCAGCGGCCGTACACCTTCCTCTTGCCTAGAAAATGCCACTCCTCAGGGGGTAAGTTCTCCCTTAGGGTGTCACTGCTGGGGAGCTTGGGTTTTGGCCACCTCTGCTGAGAAATCTGCCCCTTCCCTTGGGCTGAGGCTGTAATCCTACAGAAGGAATAGTTTCTCTGAAATACACTGTACAGTAAGGACGATAACAATAGGTCACAGCCCTTTTCACTCCCCTCTGAAGAAGTAGGTTCTTTCCAGGGCTTGGCTCTTGAGGACCTGAAGTAGTTGCCCTTACCGTCCCGCACCAGTCTCTTCATTGACTTCTTCCCGGGGCCTCAATTTGATTTCACATCTCCTCACCCCCAACTCCCACCCCCAGCCCCAGCTAAGGGTAAAGCCAAGTTGAAACTGTGTCCCTCTTCAGCCAGCAGAGGGCGCACGGGCTTTTCTTTATGCCCTTGCCTGCTGGTCTGCCAGAACTTGCTTTCTGGGAATGGATCTCACTCACCCTGGGCGGAGGGCTCCACAGTGGAACCATTAGACCCTGTAATGGAAGCTGGAGGGCTGCCGAGGAGAAGTGAGGACCTCTTCCTGAGTTGTTGCTGTTCCTTTCTTCCCATTCCCTGCCAGAAGTTCAGAATGGCAAGATGTCCACCAACGGTGTGTCCAATGGTGTATCCAACGGCCTGCACCTTCACAGCAATGGCTTCCGGCTGCCAGAGAGCAGGGCGCACGTCAGGTGAGGCCAGCCTCACTTGTCCAGCCCTCCCGAACTCAGTTACACCTTGTGGACTGGAGGGAGGGCATGGCTTACAGATCTTGTTCCTGACCCCGCCCACACACACACCCCAGAGTCAGGGGGCAAAGGGGTTCTGGAAGGGTGGCTAGTGGTCCCAATGCCGCTCCTACCTGGTATGACTCCAGTCCAGGACAGCTTCATGTCCACCTCTCTGTTGCTTCACTGGCTCAGAATATCTGCAGCTGTACCCATTACCTATCATGGTAAACTAGGCCTAAGATAGAAATGGTCCCCTCTTCTAGATGACAGTGCAGATCCCAGGGGCCAAGAAAACCTGGGTGACCCTCAGGCAGGGCTACAGACTTCCTGAGGGGCTGCTCTGACCTTCGGCTGGCCTGACTTGGCTCTGCTTCCCCCATAGCCCCCAGGTAGAGCTGCCCCCATACCTGGAGCGTGTGAAACAGCAAGCCAATGAGGCTTTTGCCTGCCAGCAGTGGACCCAGGCCATTCAGCTTTACAGCAAGGCTGTGCAGAGAGCCCCTCACAATGCCATGCTCTATGGGAACCGAGCTGCTGCCTATATGAAGCGCAAGTGGTAAGTGGGCCTGGGCCAGGGCGAGGGATGAAGGCATTGGGCTGGATGGAGCCCGGTTGCTGAGGCATCCGGGGAGGGCAGCAGTAACATCCTGCAGCCTCTTAAGGCTTCTTCCATCCAGGCCTCTCTTCCCCACCTCCAGGCTGGTGGTGGGCAGGTGCCTAACCCATGAGTCAGGAAGCCTCAAGCACCAAGGAAGCTCGCAGTTACATGGAACATGGTGCTTTGTTATAAAGTGCTGCGGCCCCTGGGGAGCTAGAAATTGAGAGAATGGTTAATCCCAACTGTTGAAGAATTGGGCCTTCAGTTGGATTTTGAAGGAGCAACAGAATCTTGCTAGATGGAGACAAAGCATTTGGTGAATTCAGTTAGTATTTGTTTGAAATGTTCCTATAGCTCCTCGACCTTGGGGAGTGCTTTCCTGTGCTCTTAGACCCTTTGGGCCAAGCACAAACAAGATCCCAAAGATCTGAAGCTAGCTGTATGTCATGCTGGGTTGCAGTAGCTAGTGGTAAAGGAGTGGGTTCATATCCCGAAGAACCTTTATCTTTGGGGAACATCAGGGCCCCCAGCCCTTCTGCCTGCAGCACCAGCAGGCAAGCAGACAAGCAGACCCCATCCCCCAGCTAGGGCCAGGACTAGAGATGGATAGAGCTGGGCCCACAGCCATTTCTGCTCCGTCTGGCATCCGTCGGCTCTGCCCAGACAGACAGGCCAGCTGGTGTGCCATCGTCTGGCTGCAACTAGGCAGGCCAGAGAGGGAAGCTTAAGAAAGCCACCCAAGTCAGCAGGATGGTGGATGGGGGTTTGGAAAGATGCTGCCCCCACAGGCCTTAGCTCAGGCATCAGGAGTTTGCCAAGGGCTCAGATGGCAGCCTAACCTGGGAGATGGCCGTTTGGGGGCCATCCTGAGATCTTTCCCCTCTCTGTCCCAGCTGTTGGGTGGGTCCTTGTCCAGGCTCTAGGCTGAGAGCTGTTTCATTTAGCATTCTTGCTAAGAGAGGCTGATGAATTCTCATAGAGTGCCGTTGACATATTCTCTGAGTTCCTACTATGCGCTAAGTACTAGGGGCACCAAGTTCTTCACTCTTGAGTTCCTGTGCTCCAGAGTGCCCAGCCTCTGGACAAGGGATAGAGACATAGACATGGTTCATCATCAGAGGGACAGGAAGCACAGTAGGTCTTTGAATGGTAAGGTGAAGTACCATCCATTCAAAGAAAAGTTTGGTTGCTGTCGCTTGGGATCAATCACAGAAGCATCAGGAAGATGTGGTTCTGAATGGGCTTTAAGAGTGGGCAGGCCTAGACAAGGAGATGAAAAAGAGGAGGGCACTGTGGGGGAAGGACATTCCCAGGGAGATGAAATGGTGTGAACAAAGGCGTGGGGGTGGGGGAGTGACTGAAGAGCTTGTTTGCAGAACAACAAATCCATTTGGCTGGAGCAGGGGGTTCGGGAAGGGACTGGCAGGAGATGAGTCTGTGAGGTAGCCTGGGGCCGGCCTGGGAAGGACTTGGAATGCAGAGCGGTGGCAGCGTTTTGGCCTCGATTCAGCGGATGATGGGCAGCTACTGAGGAGTTTTAAGCAGGAGAGGGATGTGCTGAGGGCTGTCCTTTCAGGGAGATTGATCTGGCAATGAGTCTGGATGGGTGAGCCCTGGGGCCAGCCTGCTCCCTCCTCTTCTCCACATGCCTGCCAGTGACCCCTAGAATGTCACATTCTGTCCCAGGCCAGTCTCCCCAGGGCTGCCATCTGCTCTTGGATGCAGTGGGAGCTGTCACCCTCTGGCTCCTGGCTGGTCTCTGGTCCGGCTCTCCCCAGGAGCTCTGAGGGGCACCTTGCAGGCGGTAATTGGGTGTCCAAACGGCGCCTACTCCCTCGTCACAGCCACTCGTTCTGACACAGGCCACGCCATGGAAGCGCTCTGTCTCCTGCCTGTCCCCACACTGGCTGAGCTGCTTGTTCCTGGTCTGAGCATGGCTGCTCCAAGAGCTGGATGCTCCCTCTGAGTGCTGTAGGCGAGGAAGGAGGGTCAGTAGGACATTTTTCATGTCGGACCTTCTTTGGCCCTGTGCAGGAGGGGTGTGAGCTGTGCCCTGGTGGAGGGGCCACCAGCTCTGGGGAGTGCTGCTTGGCACAGTGGGTCTTAACCCAGCAGGAAAAAAAAAAAACCAGTTCCCAAAGGAGAAGTGGCTCCTGTGACCAATCTGGCTCTCCATATGAGAGGTGGGAAGCGGTCCGTGGGTTCTGGGCGAGTGTGTACCTTATACTCTGGCACAGGGTGGGAGAAGGAGGGCCTCCTCCTTTGACCCCGTCCCCACTTACTCCCCCACAGGAAAACGTTCCCACTTCCCTTCATCCCTGCTTCAGGAGGTTGGAGAAGTGAGTGGGGACAATTTGGAGCTCCTGGCGTGCATGCCCCCCCTCACCAGCAGCTTCCAGAGAGCTGACTCGCCAGTCTGTCAGGCCCCATCCTCCAGCCCCGGGAGGTAGAGGCCACAGCTGCTGTGGATCAGTCAGCCAGGACAGAGGGGGGTCTGGCTGAGGGCTTGCTGCCTGCTGGTCAGACCCTGAGTCCCCAGCCTGGCACTTCTGGCTTCCCCCGACCACAGAACTGTCCTTGAGGGCCCCCTGCCTTGGAAATGGCTTTGAAGGCCAGTCAGGGGGGATTTGAGGAGGTGGATGGAGAAAGAGAGAAGGAAGGCTCGGGGAGCCTGAGGCGGGCAAGATGCCAGGCCTTCTGCTGCAGAGCTGCGGGTGCTTGGGGTGAGCGCATGCACAATTGCACTCTGTGTCCGGCAGAGGGCAGCCCGACACTGGTTTTTGCCACACACCCACCTCCTACCCCACACCCAAGACCTCAGGGTTCCTAGCTTGCATCCTTAACATACTCTACCTCCTGGAGAGCGAGGCCTGGGTTGAGCCAGGAGTCTCCTTATCCCCAAGTACCCTGATTCTGAGTTCTGTCGGAGGTGGGCTGGGGTGGCCACAGGAAGTGGAGACTGAGTGGGGATTCCTTGCTTGCCATGTGGCCCCACCTCCAAGCCATACTCTCCTGTCTTCTCAGGGATGGTGACCACTACGATGCCCTGAGGGACTGCCTCAAGGCCATCTCCCTAAACCCATGCCATCTGAAGGCACATTTCCGCTTGGCCCGCTGCCTCTTTGAGCTCAAGTACGTGGCCGAGGCCCTGGAGTGCCTGGATGACTTCAAAGGGAAGTTTCCGGAGCAGGCCCACAGCAGCGCTTGTGATGCGTTGGGCCGTGACATCACGGCCGCCCTCTTCTCCAAAAACGATGGTGGTGAGTAGGCACTGAGAAGGAGACGCTGTCACTCTTTCTATTTGAGGTGCTTCATGACATTCTGGAGAGAACATAGTTCCGGGATTGGAGAGGCCTGGGTTCCAGTGCTGATTCAGAATCACGTGACCCTGAAACAGTCACTTGGTCTCTCGGAGACTCGGTTTTCCGGTCTGAGAAGGAGGGATGATAGCACCTCGCATTCAGAGTTTCTGTTGAGGGTTATCAGTAGCCCGTGTGCCCGGGACTCAGGGTACAAATAAGCAGAACCCAGTCAGGCCGTGTGGCTCGCAGGGTATTCTCACCCCTCACAGACAGGGCCCTGGCCTCCCCATGGGGCATGTCAGTGGGGAGCAGCCACCGGGAGCTGTCCTTGTTCCGTTGGCATGCTTGCGGCACAGGGCAGTAGAAATGCCTTGGGGACTGGGTGTAGAGCCTCAGGTTCCAGTCTCAGCTCTGCCATGTGGTAACCATGCGACTTTGGGCAAAGCACAGCCTCTCTGAACCCACTGCCTTGCCTGTGCAGAGAGCATCCAGAGCCCTGCCCAGCTCACCTCGGTAGCTTTGGAGAACAAGCTGAGTGATTATAGTGCGGTCTATAAACTGGAGGCAGACGTGGACTCCCACCTCTCTCCTTTGCAATTTACCACCCATGCGATCGATTCATTTGTTCAAAGTTATCAAGCACCTACCATGTGCCAGGTCTGTGCCGAGTCCTGGGAATACAGCTGTGAACAAGTCAGATGGGATTTCTGTATTCATGGAGTTTACACCCTAGCGAAGGAACCAAGTGATGAAAGAAAAACAAAGAGCATGACAAGTGCCACGGGGACCTCGTATGGTGCGGGTGTATGGGGGAGGGCTTGACGGCAGTCTTGAGGAAGACACATTTAAGCTGAGATCTCAAGGATGAGGAGGAAGAGTTAACGAAATACAAAGTGTAGCTGTAGGAGGTAGAGTCCCTGGCATAGGGACCTTTGCGAAGGCTGGAAGCAGGCAGGAACAAGGCGCTTTTAAGGCACTGGGAAAACTGATGTGGTTTTACTTGAGGCCCTTAACCCGTCAGGGCCTCGGTTGGGATCCACGGAAACTGGTCTTCCAGAGAGGAAGGGCCTGGTCCTTACTGCCTCCAGAGCAATGGATCCATTGGTAGTGCTTTGCCCTCCCCTCCCTTCCTCTCACTTCTACAGAGACAGACCTTGGGTCTGCACATCCTTGGGGCTTCCAGACATTATTCAAGGACCTGAGCCAAGGCCTTCAGGGCATCAGAGGGTTTCCTCTTGAATATCCTCATGAGCTGGGCCCAAAGATACTTCTCCCCCACAGCCATTCCCAGCTCTCCAGGGTAGCAGTAGAGGCAAGTAGCCATACGTAGCTAGTACGAGGGCTGAAAACAGAGTCAGGGGCGGCGGAAAGATGGGGGAGGGGAAAGAGGGACCGGACCCTCACCTCTCCTTGCTCTCTGCCCCCAGAGGAGAAGAAGGGAGCTGGTGGTGGCGGCGGCCCAGTCCGCCTTCGCAGCACGAGCCGCAAGGATTCCATCTCAGAGGATGAGATGGTGCTGCGGGAGCGAAGCTACGACTACCAGTTCCGCTACTGCGGCCACTGCAACACCACCACGGACATCAAGGAGGCCAATTTCTTTGGCAGGTCCGAGGCCCTGAAGAGGAGGGCACAGCCTGGTTGGCAGCAGGAGGTTGGGGGGTGCGGGGGCATAATGCTTTTAGAAAAGTCTCAAATCCCAGCTCTGCCTCTGTACCCTTGGGCAAACGGCTTCACTTCTGGGGGCCTCAGTTTTTTCATCTCTGAAATGAAACCAGCCACCCCCACTCATGGAGCCATAACGAGGACTAATGAGGTAATCCATAAAAGCATCCAGTGCAGTACCTGGACTGTTTCGTCATCCCCCCTGCCCATCCCGCCCCCACCTCCTCTGACCCTGTGTCTCCATGTGCCGGAGCTTGGTTTCTTTATCTGGGTGCTCGGAGCTTTCCTCTGCTGAACGCATGAGGCAAGGGTCCTCAGAAGCCGGCAGTCTGGCACACCT